CGAGAGAGAGAGAGAGAGAGAGAGAGAGGAGAGAGAGAGAGAGAGAGACAGTCTAATTCCATTAGACGTGTTTTTGCCCGTTCGCGTTCGCGTTGTCCCAGGATAAGATGATTCTCTCGGAGGTGATTTCATCCGATACAAATAGATATCGGTATAACGAGAAACTTTACGTTGGAGTAGTATAAGTTTTAATTAATCTCGATTTCAATTTAGAATTTAATTCCAATTCCTTGTTTTCCGTTTCTCTTTTATATTCTAATTGTTGGATAATTAATTTAAATGTTATAGATATTTTTGGTTTATTTATATAATTTTTTCTTGAAATTATAAGGGTGAATAAATCTTTGTGATTATAGTTATTGTAAGAGAGATCAGAAATTAATAACATGATCCATGCTACATCTTTAAAACATGTTATATAAATTATAAGTTTACTCTATACTCTTTTCGCTTCAAGTTTCTTCATATGAACATAATTTAATAGAAATGGTTTTAGTGGAAACAGTTTTGCAATTGTAATTCTAATTAGTCTAACATTATACTAATTAAATAGCAATTGTGGTTAATTTAATTTTCTTTGTGCATAGTGTAATATTGCAGTTTAAATTTGACGTTAGTGAAACTCAGGTTTAATTTAATCGACATTAATGAAGGCAGTTCTGGAACAGCGGACGCGGGTGTTTGGGATCATAAATGTAAAAGCATTCGTAGCGAGCGAGTGAAATTCACGATGCCAAGGAATATCTGCAGTGGCAAGCGAATGTCACGGGAGCAACATGTACGGAAGACGGATATCCAATCTAATGACTTTCATAAAATCAGAACAAGTTTTAAGACCGATCACCCGGAAGTCGTAAAAGTCTCACGAGTTCCCTTCGGGAACGTCTTTCTCCTGATTACTTTGATAGCCCTGCGGACTTTCCTGCAGGATCCATCAATCTCTATGGCGAGAGGTGTACATGAATGCATCATCCAACATCTTGCTTGTACCACCATTTTGTCGTCCTGGGAAATTTATCGATCACCCCAGTAAATGGAGGATCGCCCGTGCTAAATTGACATTGTTCCTTTCTTTTCGAACCATGTCGAACTTTTATCTAACATTTCTGATTTACTTCGTTCGGCTGTCTATCGTCTGTCAAATTTAGTTTTTTTTTGGTTTTTTTTTTTTTTTATTAGAGACGTTACTCGCATATTAAAACTTCACAATATCGCAATAATCAAAACGATATAACAAAACGAAGTTAACAATGTCACGTTGTAATAATAGAATAAATTAACATGTGTATTATTTGTGTTATCGATAGAGAAAGAAAGTGAAATTCTAGTTGCATAATTTTTCAGACAAGACCAGAAATTGCTCGAATTCAAATTCCAGCTTTGAAAGCTATTGAAACGTTCGTTATTATTATTACCATATCTCCCTCATATTATGCTCGGAACAATGTAATATTTTGAATCTCACGATTACATCAGTGCCCATTTATCTCACTTGGAGCACCAAAACTATTTCATCAACTCTTAATACCCCCCCTCTTCCCCCTCCCTCCCCCCGGAATCCAGCGAGCTATTGCTCTACGACTCCGCTCGAAGAATTCCCGCGTTCTATATGGCACACAGATTGAATAACCCCGTCGAACCCTATCGTTGCAGATTCCTGAAGACCTTCTACAGGGAATTGGGTACTCGCGATCCACCCCATCTACCGCCATGGGCATCCCCGTTGCCGCTCGGCAGCCTCTGTCCGGCGCACTTTCAACCGCACCTGCAGCTAGTACACAAGAGCGAGCAGGAGCACCGTCTCGAGAACATCAAGCCCGACCAGATCTTTGCCCCCGTCAGGGTGAGTGTAATTAAGATTCTATAATTGCATTATGTCGTGTAATTCAAAGCGCAGATATTATATGCCCCAAGTCATACAGTCTAACAACTGAACTTAGAGAAGATATCCTAAGATATGAATTACAGAGGAAGTGAATAAAGGAGGAAATTCAGATCGTACTTAAATCATCAATATTTATAATACTTTGTGATCATGATATTGTATTATATTTCTAAATATCAACATGTAAGGGATAGAAGATACGATTAATTTCTGATTGGAACAAAATTTAAATTAATTTCCTTAAAAAAAAAAAATCACAGAGATAGACATCACAAAATAAAATTTAAGAGCGTCAGGAAATATTACATTACAATAAAGCAATCGAGACTCGCGCGGATTCGTTTTGAAAACGTCAAATAGATTTTCGATTCACGTGACACACGCGAGTTTTCACGCGGGTGTCGCGCTTTATCAGGACGCGACCGAGATCTTTCGTTGACAGCCGCGGATTGCATGATATCGACTCCGTAATTGCGCGGATGAGCAGCAAGTCGAGTTCCGGATGTCCAAAGAAGCCGCGGGGGAGTTCCTCCGACGAACAGTCGAAAGCTCGTTTCGCTCCCCCCTTTCGCCGTCGTTGCTGCCGCCTCTGCCAGCAACTTCCTTTAGAAATATGAAAGCCAAGTTGGTGTCCTCTGAAGTTTCAGAATGAGAGAGCGAGAAGTGCGGAGAGAGAGAGAGAGAGAGAGAGA